TCTGAGTATGCATGTAAACCATGTAGCCTATTGGCGTGAGCCGATTCGGCCGTCGGTACGGTTGTTCCCGTCGATGTAATACGGTTACCCTTGCGAGGTAAGTCCCTTAAGACCTAATGAAAGGCCGTGTCCGTAGCGTGGCACGTACCCCCACCGTTAGGGTAATGAATCCCCTTTCCGTGGCTAATGAAAGATGTGTACACAGGGGTAATATATTGTGATATGATATGGGTATGTGACAGGTAATTGATTTATGTTCATACTGCGACCATGCCTTCTTTAAATTATTCATTATTGTGCTATACGTGCATAGTGGTGAACACCTCGTTTTCATCTTGTGCTCATCCCCACCTGCTCTTCACGGATGCAGGTTAAGCAGGTGCCGGGTGACGAGGAAAGACGAGTGGGTCGATCTATTGATTATGCCTATATATTTCGCTTCCGTTAGAATAAATGAGGTCTTGTTGAACCTTTTATGTTGAGGCTTGTGAAAATTTTATTAAAAACTTATGACTTGTTTTGATGTTGGGAATACTTAATAGACCCTTGTTTATGATGTTTGGTTTTTATGAGGTTTGAATATTTCATGTTGAGTATTTTGTCATGTGATATGATTTGGGTTAATGAAAAACTTGTGAAAACCGGGTAATGAATCCCCGTGGGCCCAGATAAGACTTGGGTTATGAAAAATGTTGTTTAACACCCATTAGATTTCGAAAATGATCTCGAAAAATTATTTACTGATTTTTGGAAAGTCCGGAATTTCTTTAAAATCAAAGTGGGGCGTTACACTCTTAATCTTGTACCAGTGGAACAACAAGAAGAAGATAAAACTCGAATGGGAACTGAGAGAGAGAAGAGATGCGTGGGCGCGCTGTGGTGCTGTGGACGCCGTGCTACAGTGACATCGAGAGTGGCGCGCGGTGGTGTTGTGGACGCACTCGCTGGCGGTGGCTGGTGCAGATCTGCTGGTTTTGGTCGCGCGTGGAGAAGCTAGTCACGATTGTGAGCTCGTGACGTCGTCGGAGATGGTGGTGGCTTGTTTTCCCGGCGAGAAAGAGCTGGAAAAAGGACGAGCTTTGGTCGCCAGAAATGGAGCTGAGGTGGTTGCGAGCTTGCTGGTTCGCTAGAAAGGAGGACGGCGTGAACTCAGATGGAGAGCTGGACGTCGACTTACCGGAAAAACGGAGCTAGAGGTCGCTGGTTTAGTCGGCAGCAGCTTAGCTGCGGGCTCGCCGTGAAGCGAAGCTTTGACTGAACCTGCGCATGGAGGAAGATCTACGACTTCGTCGGACAGAGCTTCGCCAGCGTGAAGGTGCTCGCCGGTAAGGTGGGTGGCGGCGGCTCGCCGGATTTATGTGGTGGAGGGAGAAGATGGCCTTGAGCTTAGGATTTTCTTTTGCTTTGAAAAGATGAAGATGATGAATGAATAGTATTTTGGATAAGAGGATAAGATTCTTGTGGTTGTGAGCTAGGGGGAAAAGAGAATGTATTCTATTTATAGATGAGTGTAAAAGATTAGGGTTTTCTCTTTGTTTTGGGCTATAAAAATCGGACCCAATCGACTTGGGATCAATTATAAGATACTACTTGAGCTCAAAATATGAAATACTACTCGAGTCGAGAATTTAATATGTCCGGTTAAATGTAAAAATATCTCGATTATCAAATAGTTGGGCCCGATAAATAAAATACTACTAGATTCGGAATTTAATTCGACTATTCGAACTAAAAATGGGCCGACTAGTTAAATAGTTGGGCTTGTTCAGGATTAAAAAAAATTCCCGACTTTTCTAATACCTGATAAAAATAATTAATCGAGTCTCAGACTTAGGATTTTTATCTCGTTTCCGAGATAATAAATCGAACGTTCTTCTTATGGTTAGACTTGAAATTAAATAAATTATGCGATTAATATTAAAAATTCTCGGCATAATTAAAATATTACTAATTCTGATAAATAAAGTCGAGCTAATTATATAATTTTGGATCGGGGCTTACAACAAGTATCTAGCCCATCCTTATGCACTAAGTCTTCAAAGTTCAAACCTCACAACTTTTGGGTCTAACTTTCATTAATGAACCCAAAACATGGTAACTACGGGGTGCCATATACCGATTTACTTCAATCTTCCTTCAACGTCTCGTCGTCCATAAAAATACTCCAATATCCTAAAAATAAAATATAAAAATATCAAAGAACTAGAATCCATCTAATAAATAAATAAGTCAGAAAATATATAAGTGTGACAAAATTAAGCATATAAAAATACACTCATAAATATATAAATTACACATTTTTTCCGACCAATCAACCTCTCTCCGAGCGGAAGACAAAAAGAGTTTTTTTCCAGCAAGAAATTCTAGATAAAACAACATCCACAACATATTTGAAGGTGTCTCTTTTAGATCTACCTATTCCAAGGGGAAGCCCTAAATATTTAATGGATCCCACACTCTGGATGTCATTCAAAAAGAACAAAGAAAAAAAAATGATCTGTTTAGAATCATTATTACCCTAATCAAAAAAGTTACTCTCCTAAATCAAATTTAAAATCTGCCTCCAAAAACACCCCCCCAACCCAAACTAAGAAAGGGGACATAAAAATAGTGAAAGAAGGAGGGTAAAATTAATTACCCCAAACCCCAAATTTAATTTACTCCTCTCTCTCAAAAATTAAACACAAGCCGCCGCTGATACCATAATTTAAAGAATTTGGATGAGATGACTTGGGTCTCTTCCAACTTAACCAGTGGTTTTGAGTTCGAACTCTAGGAATGCAGCAGTGTTAAAACTCTTGAGGGAGAGCTTTGCCGCCCTTGTAGTCCTACCCAGCTCGATTCCAGATTAGTCG